ACAGCTTAGCATTCCACCAATTCTGGTAAAGGTTATAATCAAACGGAACAGAGAACATCACAGCAAGTGTTTTGTCGATGCGTGGAATGTAGTAGGCCACGACTCCGACAACTCCCGTTGCAACTGGTCCAGACGTCTTGCGAGGTCCGTAAACTATGGCATACGCTGTGGAAAATAAAAGAAAAGAACAAAAGAAACAGACAATCAATGAACAATTATTGAACTTGGTTATCGCAAAATATCATGATTTCCCAGTGGCCAGCAGATGAATTATTTGCCAAAGCCGATGGCTGAGGCAAATAATTGAGCAGTGAGACACTGAAAAATCACGATATTTTGCGACAACCAAGTCCAATAATTGTTAATTGATTGTCTGTTTCTTTTCATATTATTTTAAAGCACTCTCTGACAACTCAAGGAAGCGATCCGTCATTTTTCACAAGAGAGCGCGGTTACAATTACGCGTGAACAGAATATTATTTGCAGCAAAACACGTTTAGACGGTCCTAGGCGTGAACAGACTATCATTTGTAAGCAGTTATTTACAGGTGAGGTGGTGGTTTCTCAACCTATGAAAAGAAAGAAAAAATGTATCGAATGATAAATATTTTTATTGGATACGAAAACCAGTAAGAATAAATTATTTGTCTCTCGGAACAAATAGACTTTAGTCTTTCGACACAACGTTTCAGTTAAGAAAACACGCTTTTCATTGTCAATTCAACGACGTTTTAATAGGACTTTGTAATTATGAATACTGAAACTCAAACGTCGTGTCTTCCTTTTGAAATGTTTATCATATCTTTAAATTTAAAATTAATATTAAGACCTCTCAACGAAAAACTCTGTACTGAGTGACTTGTTTTTGGTCTGCGCTTTATTGACAACGGTTTAATTTTCTTCTTAGTTATGAATTTCGGCTTTTTTTAAGAGAGGCCAATTCTGAAAAATGGGGATATCACTTGGACAATCCTATCACAAAACAAGCATGGCTTAAAAAGGCGAAGGATATTTGTGCAAGAATCTTATTAGAAAAACAAATTGTTGTCTAACAAGGTGTAACAATCATGTTGGTCATATTGTGTTGGTCAAGTTCAAGCATGATTAGCACTATGCTAGCCGGCCTCATGTAAATACTGAATTCACTTTTACCATTATCAACAGAATAAGGCAAGTTTTCATCCGCAGTGCCAGAAAAGAAGTAGGTAGAACCTTGCTGCCAGCCAAGTCCACTTTTGTTCTCAACACCAACGGCGCGGTTTACGTTAGCGAGAACATTTAGGATCTCTTGTAGAAGACCGACTGTAAGCTCGGCACCTTCAATAACAGTTCCTGCATCAACTTAAATTAAATAAGCTAGTTAGTGGGATGTTAATGAAACCTTGCAAAGTTTTTATCAACCGAAATCTTGTCAAAACGTTACCAGAAGTCCTGCCGATCTAGGGAAGCAGACAAAAGACTTAATAAAAGCAAAATCAAGACTTGTTAAAAAAAACTTGTTACTAGCGAGTCCACATAACGTTATCCAGTGGTTAAGTGTGAAGAAAACAAACTATCCTATCCACTGAATATTGGTAATTTATCAGGAGGATAGCGTTATCTACCTTTCGAACAACCCATGCCTGGCCCTTTCTCTGTCGCGCAACGTTACGCTCTCTCGTTACGCTCCCACCCGAGAACGTAGCGTTGCGTGAGAGAGAGAGGGCCATAACTGCTCTAGGTACTCGTGTTAATGACAAACTAGCCGGGGAGGGGGGAGGCAGTCCTTATAAAAGCTATATTGGTATGTGCCGCTGTGTAAGGTACGGTTTGCAAGCAATTTAGTCAGGGATACGGCAAAGAAATCAGACAGCTTTGGTCTAGAATAGGATATAATATCCCGAACAAGTGGCCAGGGTTTGAATAATTTAGTGTAGAGCAGGGTTCTTTACCCGGGGTTCCATAATAGAATATGAAACTCGAAAGTATATTGGCTCATTTAAAGCATGTTGGAGTACGATAGTGACAAAGTTTCTGCATGGAAAATAGCTAGTCTGGTATAGAGTAGGGGCTTAAGGTGCCTTGTCTGATCATGGTCTGGTATAGGATAAGGGTTTCAATGTTCCAGGGTCACACCCGTACCTAATGACTTACAGAGTACCTACCCCGGGCAAACTAGCTAACGTCAAACTACTTCCTAAACTATCAGTTCCTGATTTTCAGGAGTGGTGACCAACCTTTGCCATTTTTAGAGGACAAGTCCTGGAAAGTTTTAACCCTTTTTTACACAGTATTGTTCCCTATGTATTCGCTTCTTCCGAGACCGATTCTAACTCGGCTTTATAACTATGGAGACAATTCATTTCATGTGTCAGTCTACTAAACACAATTAATGAAAATCATTTACCTTTGCGCTTGGACTTTTCGCTGTCTTGGTCTTCCAAGTCCTTCGATCCCTGCAGTTTAGCTTTGAACAACGTTATGAGATCGTCTCAAAAAGGCCTCCAGTTCCTATGTAGCAAAAAGCAAAATAGTCATCTCACTCAGTTGGTTTTAATTTTTTTTCTCCTCTTTTGTAAGCCATTTTAGAGCTACCTTAACTGCAGCATGAATATCATGGCCGAATATCGCTTTCTAAGTTAGGATCCCTCAAGTTTACCTTCATATGCATTTATGCCACGCCATAGAAAATACAGCCAATCAGAATGCAGCAAAGTCGTTGCATATTCGACGGTATTCCATTTAACCTACCCATCATACGCCGCGCGTACGTTATATTGACTGTGTTACCAACTTATTTTCTATTCATGGTATAAAATAGTTATGCAACGCTCTCTCGTGGTATCATACCATGGAATATTTCACTTATCACTTGTATTGTCTTGGTATATACACTCGCCTTAAGGTTCGTGTTATATTATGTCATACCACGTGCTCCCATCGGGCCTCGGGAGCTTGAAGTAGAGTCTCTGGTATCCGCCATATTGTCCGCTCGTGTTGTCGTGTAGTACCCGTTGCGTTGTTAAATAAGGAACATAGAAGGCAATATTGTGACAGTTCGTGTGTGTACCGAGAAAATACAAGGGACTCGTGGGATATTCCATGGTATTCAATGGAAAGTCTCACATAACTTGTACATGTATGCGATCTTTAAACTGGTGATGATTAAACACAACAAGAAACTAAATCTCACACGCTTT